CCGTCCGCCGCCGCGGCCTGTGGCCCCTCCCCGCCGCAGCCGCGAGGCCGTCGGGCCCGGGGGACGCGCTCGCGCCGGGGCCGCCCCCTCCCCTCCACCCCCACCTCGGCCCGGGCGGGGGCGCGCGAGGAGCGGTGACGTCAAGGGGCGCGCGGTGGCAGCACCTCCCCGCGCGCTAGTTAAAAAGAAGAAGAAAAGAGGGAGCGAAACATGAGAGGCTGTGTGAGAAGCTGCAGCCGCCGGCAGAGGAGACCTCAGCATCATCTAGAGCCCAGCGCTGGCCCTGCCTGCGTCTGCCCCGCCGCCGCCGCCGCCGCCTTTTCTGTTCCTGCTACTGTCTCACCTAAACAACTCCCGTTACACGGACAAGTGAACCTCTGTGGCCGTCTTCTCCTCCTCTTCTTCCTCCTCCTCTTCCAACTCTTTCTCCTCCTCCCACTTCCCAGCCGCAGCAGGAAGCCCCTAACCCAACTGACCCTGGCACAACTGCAAACGGTGTCATCTGCACAACCCTGTCTCGGTCCTCGGACTCCCCTAAGGCACTGGACCCATCGCCTTGTCTTTCATTTTTCGCAAAGTTGCATCGCTCTACATATTTCCGCCCCCGGCACCACTCTCTGCCTCTCGAGTGTCCCCCGCAGCCTCCTCCTGGAGCTGCGCCCTAGTGCCCCTGGTGGGCAGTGGCGTTCCCCCCCCAGCCTCCCGCGCCGAGCCCCTGCAGCTCGGGGCAGACGATGCTGAAGATGCTCTCCTTTAAGCTGCTGCTCCTGGCCGTGGCTCTGGGCTTCTTTGAAGGAGATGCTAAGTTTGGGGAAAGAATCGAAGGGAGCGGAGCGCGGAGGAGAAGGTGCCTGAATGGGAACCCCCCGAAGCGCCTGAAAAGGAGAGATAGGCGGATGATGTCCCAGCTGGAGCTGCTGAGTGGGGGAGAGATGCTGTGCGGTGGCTTCTACCCTCGGCTGTCCTGCTGTCTGCGGAGTGACAGCCCAGGGTTGGGGCGCCTGGATAACAAGGTAAGCACGCACCCGCCTCACAGATGCGAGAGTGACATGCTGGCTAGGTGGGGGCTCCCTGGGGCTCCAGGACTGCTAGTGGCCGTGAGAAGGGAGAAAACTTGTTTGGAGAGTTCTGTCTGATAACTTTGTCTGAAGTGCTAGCGTGATTCGGTGGTGCGTTCTTCTGGGGTGCGCAGATAGCTCTCCCGCCCCCACGAGTCCGTGGTCGGGATGCTGTGCACAACTGCCTGTGTCAGAAAAGAGAAGCTCCTGTGGTACCCGCATTCTGGGCTGGGTAAATATTTTAAAAGATTCGCGATTAACAGTGTGTTTTGGGTCGAATCGGGCATTGGCTGCGGTGAAACTGTAAATTAAGGTGGCTGTGGTTTCCGGTTTATTTTTCTAGGGTAACAAGATTTGTGCAGTTTTCTCCACGTGCTCGGTGAGGGAGAGGATTGAATCGTAAAGGATGTTGAAGCATGGTTGGTTTATGATCCCCAGCCCCGTCAGAGGGGGTTGTCTTGCATTACAATAGTTAAGCTGCGAAAAGGAACTCCTGGTACTCCAGTTGAGAACCCGAAAAGCTGGCCAGAGATTTTGCTGGGGCGTATTTGTCACCTAAAACCGAGACCGTTCTCCGCCCCAGTTTGTAATGTTTTGAAACATTGTAAATTCAGGCTTTCAAATGGCAGTTAGTTGCCCAGGAAGATCTTCTCTAGAAACTTGTTTTAGGACTAATGGCATTTACACTTCCCTTGTGTTCTTGAGTTTAAACGAATATGAGATAGTGTCGATTGAGTGTGAAGGCAAACTTATTTTTTTGAGTTTCCAACATCTTTCTTGTCATGGGACGCAGCAACGTGGGCTATCTACTGTACTGCAAAAGGAAAGGGGGGATCCCGTCATTAACAATCACTGCACGTGAAATAAACAATCAGGTGTCTTCGCTCCCCCTCCCGCTCCCCATTTTAGGTTTAATTAAGAATTCCTCTGTTACAACACTGCAGTTGTCAAGGTCTGAGAGACTCTTGGAAAACTTGTGCTTCAGTCTTGCTGGCCCAGGCATTAAAAAAAAAAAAAAAAAAAAATACCCAGGCTGAATCTAATTTTTATGCTCAGTTCACGGTAGATTTCACTCTATTCTCATGTAAACAGCTCCTACGAATCAACATATGTGTCTGGGTGGTATCTCTCACTTTGTTTTGTAACAAAAAGCCATATTGCATCATTTAATTTGCTCAAGTCATGCAAATAGGAAAAAATCAATAGGACAAAAAGGGGTCGACTTATCCTCCTCCCCACTAAACTGCTGCCCACACACAGAGTCCTGTTGCTTATGGCAAAAGAATAACAACAACACCATTGTGTTTGTTAGTTGGTTCACTAATGGGTGAAACTAGAGAACATCATTCTCTTTCAGTCCCCAGCTCTGTCCAAATGTTCATGCCTTTTGAGGGAGCATTTGTCCAACTCCCTCTATTCCCAGATGAGTGAGAACCGTCTTGCTGCAGGTTTTCAGCTGCAACTCTCTCTTTATTCTTACCATATGCAGCAGTAGTCTGCGATTCAGGGAACAGATATTCCAGCATTTTATTCAAAACAATGTCATTAAGCTCCTGTGTGGTAATTGAATTAAATCAGAAAAGCTACATTCACATCATCTGCAGGGTTTTACCAGGAGCTTCAGAGAAAGGTTTAGAAATATCTGCCATTAAGTCTCCCTGTGTGCAATGTACACTATGACTACACCAGTGATCTCCAGACCCCTGCAATGCTGAACTCTACCAGGAACATGAGGAATGAAAACTTTAACTGAATAGAGTGGGGAGTTGGAGGGGCAGGGGCGGAACTGAGGGGAGTTATAGCCCTTAAGAGGAGTTATATAAAAATTTTTTTTTTTAAGAAATCATTCTTTAGGAAGAAATCTGCCACGTTAGCTATCCACATTCCTTTCCGTTTTACGTGCTTCCAATCTCCAACAAACCCCTACTCATTTGGAAAATGTGTCTGAATTAAATTCGGTACACTAGACTTTGCTAGTTTCATTACAAGTGCTTTATAAACCAACAATACTCAAATTGTTCAAAACAGAGAAGTGATATAGCTATGCATGTGCATTCTTGACCTATGTTAGCTCTCAAGTTTTAATAGTTTTTAAAACATGTTATTTTATAATAAACTTCAGTGTTTCCTTGTTTTCCCCTAAGCCTTCCTGGCTTATAATATATGTTAGGGTCTTATTTCATAACGTGTGTACAGGAGAGATGATGGCTGTTTGAAAGGGCCCGTTTTTGCTTATGGAAAAAAAAAAAAATCTCCAGAAAGATTTCTGCAACTTTTCAAGAAACTACAGGCACATCTTTCTCCTATAGGAAGAAACTTCATAGACAGTAGCAAAATAGGTAGGAATATTTGAGCATGCTCAGCTGTGCAGTTAAGTCCAGACTCCAAACTAACACATTTTCTTTAATGTAATGAACTGGCATTGAGTTCAATTCTTTAATGTAATGAACTGGCATTGAGTTCAATTCTTCATAATGGTATTATGCTTTTATGTTTTAATTTTTTGTACATTTTAATAATTTTGTGTATCGTAACAAGATTGTTAACTGCCATTATAAACAAATACTGCCAAAATTTAGGAAGTTCTATTGTCTTGGCAATATTTTTGCAGTTCCTAAATACAACATGCTAAAAGGACCTCATTCCCATTAGCCAAATTGAATCCGCAGCCAACTGAAATACCCCCATTTCTAAAACTTGTAGCCACAGAGGCATAGAAGCTCTCTCTACCTTGGGTGGTTTCACAGCCAAAGCTGTCAAGGAATGGGTGAAAAGTAATTGTTTTCAAGTGTGCCCTTTTACAATCATTTGTTTGCTCTGGCTCTTTCAGGGACAAAGGCTATTGTTGAACACATCCAACTAAACAAATAACTCATCCTGGGGTCCCTTTAACAGCTGCCTGAGTACAATGATCTATTTACATATTAGCCTAAAATTGAAACTGAACTCTTTAATGACATAATCCAGCACTATAGTGCCGAGACGCATGTGTTCCACCCAACAGCTGAACAGCCTTGTAGGCATATGATTTTTAGAAATAACTTTTTGTGTACCCACTGATCTTAAGGCGACATCTTAATATGCTGTCATGTATTTTCTCCTGTTGTCTGCTCATCAAAACCACGTGGGTGCCTTTTTATCCTCTTTGTTTAGTTACTTGATAAATAAAGAGAAATACAGAAGGTCTCTGTCACCCATTTTACTATTTGTTGATAAGCTATAGTTCTGGGCCACACTTCACTGTGTACTACGGTGTTCATCTTACCTTTCTTCCGTGGATTTTACTTTCTTGTGGCCAAAGATTAAAGGATGACCTTCCAGATGTTATAAATTAGTCAGCAACAGCCACGGTCATTACTAGGCATGCTGTAATAATGTCTCGAAGTTTTACATGACTTTCAAAGTATATTTAGTTTAAACCACTATAATTTGATGGTTTCATATATGGCTTTTAAAAATCGAAACAGGAAATTAGCTTAAATTTCTTCTTCAGATGGATGACATTGTCAGGCATAAAGTTAAGGACCTATATAGACACAAGCACATAGGCAAAAAAGAAGAAAAAAATACCCTACACACACCAGTACTCATCTGTCTAAAACAGTGTTGCAGCTTGGGCTGAGTCAGTTTAATTGACTTCAGTAAGACTATTGGTTCATTGAAACCAAAGCCAGAATGATGGCTCTATCTATCTTCAAATAGGTATTTACACTGCAGACCTCACACAGAGCAAAATGTTACCATCCTGCTGGGCCGGAACAGCGTGAAACTTTACAAAGAATAATATTATACTCGATTTCAGATAATTTATTGAATCCTATTTCTGAAACTTTTGATGAGAGATCTTGTGGCCAGGACACATTCCAAAAATTGTAAAAGACAAAATTCTTTAGGCACTAAAATCAGGCTCTTCCTGGATAGCAGCTGGGAGAGTACATGGGGATCAGTTTGTTTCAGCTATAAAAAATGGAAGTATGCATATTCTCCATAAAACTAAAGGTAATTACATTCCAGTCTTCCAGCCAGCAAAAAAGGTGGCTTCAGCATCCTGCAGTTGTTTTGTTCTTAGGGGACTGCTGTACGATAAACAAACAGAACAAAGTTGAACAGTATTAATATTGAATAGATCTGGTGAGGTCTGCCAGAGTATGGACAATAAAAGACATTTAAAACATTCTTGGAATGCAAATTCTAAGTGTCTGGCATATGTTTCCTTTTAGAAAATTTAACCATTTAAGCAATTGTCATTTAAATAAATTGATAAAAGTCAACGTGTAAATATAACTGTGATTAATAATAACTTCTGAATGTTATAGGTAGTGACAACACAGAGTGTGTGTGTATCTATATCTATATCTATATATAGGTACATGTGTATATATATGGTAACTTCTATAGAGCTTTTAATTACTGCATGCTAAAATTTCAGCATGCTTGTATTCAGCGATTTTTTTTTTTTTAGCTGCTTTGTTCTTTCAGGTCCAAATTTTGTTATCACCTAGAATATCTTTATCCTAAAAAATAGAAGCCATGCCATTTACTCAAATTAGAACCTCAACTCACAAATGAAGTATTTGCTTTGAACAATGATTTAGAGTTTCAAATGTTATTTTCAGTTCCTAGTTCTAAATAGTTAAGTATAAATTTAGTTATATAAACTGAGAAAAGGTATAAAATTCATTCCCATTATTGTGTTTTTTATTATGAAAAATCAATGAATGATTTAGACAGCACTACATTTTACGTCTCAAATATTGTGCTGGTATTGTCTTCTATATTTATTAGAGGAACTCCTGAAGTCAGTTTTTTAAAGTTAGTACTGGACACCAAGACCTATTTTATCTACAAATTACTAACTTCAGTGAATCAGTAACTCCCAAATTGGTCTTATTGAAAAAAAAAAGACATAATACTGTATAAATAAAGATAAAAGTATTCTTTTTTTTTTTTATTAAAACTCACTCAATCCTATACAAAAGCACTTTTATTAAACTCCTGTGTTTATTCACACATATAACATACCTGAGGAGCTGGTTAGAAAGTTTTTCCTGGCTAAGATAAAATGAATAATAAAAATTGGTCTGAAACCAGTTTCAGCTTCAGATATTATTTTTCTACAACATGAAAAGGCAATATTCCCCCCACTTTAGGAAACTTTCCCGATGCAACCTGTAGATTGAAAATGAACTGAAACTAGAAAAATGTAATTAAAGTAGTATCTTTGAGAATATCCTATCACGAATTTCAAGAGTGAAATACATTTTTACCTAAGACAGAAATGATCACATCTTAAAAAATTCTACTTTACGTACAGTTGGATATAGGTATTTAGAATTTTAAAGTCAAATATCACTATGCACTATGCAAATATCGCTATGCACTCTGATGCAGAGTAACATGGTAAAGGGTTAAAGGGTCTCAATATAGGTGTCATTTAATTTTTCATACCCAAAAGATAAACAGGCTTTGATCTGCAAGAGTAAGAAGGACTTTTGTGCATCCTTACCCTCCGCTCCCCCAGCCCAGCCCAAGAGACTGTACTTCTAGCCTTATTAAAAGCATCCCATGTGGGGCGCCTGGGTGGCGCAGTCGGTTAAGCGTCCGACTTCAGCCAGGTCACGATCTCGCGGTCCGTGAGTTCGAGCCCCGCGTCAGGCTCTGGGCTGATGGCTCAGAGCCTGGAGCCTGTTTCCGATTCTGTGTCTCCCTCTCTCTGCCCCTCCCCCGTTCATGCTCTGTCTCTCTCTGTCCCAAAAATAAATAAACGTTGAAAAAAAAAATTGAATGCTTAAAATATTTAAAAAAAAAAAATAAAATAAAAAATAAAAGCATCCCATGTTTCTGATATGATAATTCTTTTCAGACAACTGCACTGGCTAAGTTATACTATTCTACTTATATGATTACAAAAAACATAACTAGACCTAGCTTCACATGAATAAAAGGAAGTTTGTTTCTGATTTATGGCTTTCAGATATTTTCTGTTACCAACAACACAGAATGTGGGAAGTTACTGGAGGAAATCAAGTGTGCACTTTGCTCTCCACATTCTCAGAGCCTGTTCAACTCACCTGAAAGAGAAGCCTTGGAAAGAGACCTTGTACTTCCCCTGCTCTGCAAAGACTATTGCAAAGAATTCTTTTATACTTGCCGAGGCCATATTCCAGGTAAAAAAAAAAAAAAAAATTGATAAATTAAATAAACTACTGCAGCATATCCTCACAAGATATCTGATCTTAAATGTTCGCTTCTGAGAGTGTAAAATTTATTTCACCTTCCAAAATACCTACTTTTGCCTCACAATTAACCTTTACAAATTTGTAACCTTTCATTGCTGGTAAAAGGATTACTATCATTTCAGTCTGCACACAGTATGTTGGTTTTGATGGGATGTTTTACAGTTCTTGTTAAATCAACACTACAGTTGGTAATCTACACACATTGGATTATCAGTACAAGTTTCTTGTTGGTGTCTTCTTCATCCATTAGCATCCATATCAAGACAGCCTCCTCTTCTACATAGCTGATATGCAAGTGCAGATTGTCCATGGACTTTTAAGGTAGTATTCCCTTAATTAAAGTATCACTAGAAATCCAAGAAAAGTAACACCTTACAATGCACCTTTACATGTAATGACTAATTTGCTCTTCAAAAACTCTGTGCTGCAGGTAGGAAAAGTGGAGTCATCCCCATTTGACAGATGACGATAACTGAGCCTGAGGAGAAGTTAAATGCCTTAACCAAAGTTGTGCAGTGAGGAAGTGATAGAATAGATTAAGAAGTTCTTAGGTTGACAGTGTCACGAATATACCTGCTCACTACCATATTTTGGACCCTAATAAACATATAGATTCTTGGACATGGATTAATTTTACCATCAAAAGTTTATAAACTTTGGTTGTTACTGCTTTAGTTGGAAGAATCAACATAGAGATACAAAAGAATTTAACGACACAGATTCTGTTTAGTTAAGCAAAGTCACACACAAACAAATCTACTGAAGCTAACAGTTTATAAAACTAAATGGCATTGAAGGAAAAGACAAGCTTTAAGAACTGTAGGATGCCCTTGGAGAACTTTTTAACTGCTCTGCATATTTTACATTTTTCTCTGACCCAGAAAAGTGTGGATTTTTTTTTTTATAGAGCTCTTGCAATAACCTAAGAAAACATTTTGACTAGGATTGCTTGCTTCCTTTGGTGTACCATAACATGTATCTAAACCCATTCATGTGAAAATATTATTATTGTCTTTATAAACCACAACCATGTTTGTAAGGCTTTTCCTAAACCAGCTGTTTCTTCCTCTTTATCACGTTCCCCAAAAGCAAAGTAGAATAGGTCACGGTTGCATAGAAGGCCTGCCGAGAAGCGATAACAGATTAGGTACCATAAAGGTTTGCTGCAAATTTCAAGTCTTGAAGGTTTGCCTTTACCAATGTAAGTTGAAAAGAACACCGACACTTCCCATTTTCCTCTACCTTTATCTACTGGAGATAAATACAACTATGCTGTATTTAAAGACTCACCCAGAAAGTCTCCATCTATGTGAAGTTATTTTAGCTTCCAAAACAAACAACAAAAAGCAATATCCAGCAGAAGAAAGAGTGTAGCAAACAGCTCAGGAGCCAGAACTGCAAGCACCTCGCTCCCCAGATCAACATATGTGGTGACGAATGACAAATTTATTTTTCTACAAAGTTTGTATATATGTAAAACTGCTGAAGTGCATCAAGATGTCAAGTGCTTTTGGTGGCCACCCAGGCTGCCTTGAAAGATAACCAGATGAAAGCTCTACTCCAGTGGTAGAGAGAGCAGCAAGGGTGCTTCCCAGGGACAGGCTACAGGCTTTAGCAACAAGCAGGGGGGGGCTTCTCCTGCCTCCGTCAAATGCTAATAATCATCCTGAATACTTGTCGCAAAAGTGAGTTGTAATAACACATTCTTTGTGTTAATTTATGTTAATCAACTTGTTAGCCAGACTGATCCTTGGCACACAGTTGACCATTTTCTGAAGTATGATAGATAGAGAAGATGGTAATCTTCCCCTCAGCCCTTGCCCCAACACAGAAGGCTCTTTACAATTCTAGAACAATTATCTTTCAGAAATTGCTCTCAAAGCAAATTTTTAATATTTTCACCTTCTCAAGTTTATTTAATGACATGGTGTAACTTTTCTCTGGAGTTCAAAGTTGCAAAAAACAGCTACTTTGTGATTCTTTCTTATAAGAAGTCGATATATTTGACTATTCTAATGAACAGCCTCATCTTTCTGCAAATCAGAAACTTAAAAATGCAACACTAAGGCAAATGCTCAAAGGGGTTGAGAGAGAGGAAAAATAATTTCTGAGATGTCTTCATTTCCCTCCACTGCCCAGAACGTAAAGAAATAAATACATAAATGATCCACCCCTTTGCTTCACCTTCATGACTTTCAGAAAGCACCACCAGTCACTTGGGAATACAGGTACATCTGAAAGAAACTCTTTAGAAACTTTAATTCAGAAACATTCATGGTGTGCCTATTTTCAAGAAAACGAGAAAAGTTAAAAATTAATATAGTAAGGATATACTAGTGTTTTATTAATCATAATATTCACCAGTTGTGAGTTGACTTAGGGAAGTAAATTCTTAAAACTTCTAAAAATAACAAAATTGCATTTGGAAAAAAAAAAAAAAAACCCCTCACACAGGAGCTTCTTGCTCAGCATCACAGGTCTTTTCTCCTGCTGCACTGTGATGAGCAGAGTAGATGCTTTCCTGTTCACTCAGTGATGGCATAGTGCACTCTGTGGGAAGTGTACAAAAGGACAGACATGGGCCTTGCTTCTTCCTTTACAGTTGTTATCACGAGTATCATGATACACTTTTTATCACTCTCAGACTGTCATCTCTTCAGCTGTAGGTGATTTAGTGTGAAATGTCAGTATACAATTAGTTCGATTGGTTTAATCCTGTTGCTAATGAGGCCAAGGTCAAGGGTTTGATTCCACTGAGTCTCTCTAGTCCATAGCCACTCCTGACCCCAGGGAGATATCTTATACATGTGTCTTCCCCACGAGAGCAAGCCAGACAGAATGGATGGATACATCAAAATCCACTACCTCTATTAGAAAATGCTGGCAAGTGCAGGCCTTACGAACAATGGGTTTTGTTTCGTTTCTTTCTTTATTTGATGAACAGCATATATAAGGAGGAAAAGTAACTTTTCTCTGGCATACATTCTGAGAGAAAAGCTAGAGCTTAGAATACTCCACAGAGAGTATTTGTTTACATGAGCATGTTATGGGGTGCTTTGTGGTATAGTAGGACTGGATTCATCCCGCTCCAGGACATTTGATAAATTATCAGGAGTTTAAAAAAAATACAGCTGCTGGAATAATCTGTGTACTTCCATCATCAGTAGACTTGATGATACTGTGATGATACAGGCTGAACTAAACACCCACCTTCAGTAAAATGCTCTTCAGGGTATTGTTCCAAATAAAAGGGTACTATTTGGTAAATTCTATCTTCCCTGGCAGTAAATGTAAGCCCAGTGTCCTGAAGCCACGTCCCTTTTAGCTCTTCACAGCAAAATATATCTTATTCATCACTGTCCACAAAATCAGATCATTGTAAAGTATTAATGAAAATGTTAGATGTGTGTAATTATGAGAAAATACCCATATCTTTACGTAAAAGTCTTTTGAGTTGACTCCCTCCTTCACACTTGTTCAGTATACTGAGATTCTATAAAAAGCTAGGAATAATTCATTGTTAATCCCAGTTTTGTTTTTGTTCTCCTTTTGATTTGGTAAGAGAACATAGTACCTCTGGAGCCATAGAGTTTATGAATGTGTACTTAATTAATCTTTAGATGTTCTATTTGAAAACGATTTCTCACTTCCGCATGTTTGTCCCCAGCTAATAACTCCTTGTAAAATGGAATCAGCCATCAGCATTGTTTAATTTCTCCTTAAGATGGTATTGGTTTGCAGACTATGATGCTGGAATACAGGTTTTTTTTTTAAAGCAAATTTGAAATTTCTTCTCAGTTACACTTTGAATTTTTTTTTTTTTTTTTTTTTTTTTGGTGATCCTGCAGGCAACCATCATGTTGAAACAAATTTTCTCATTTTCACATTCAGTTATAAGTATATACATAGTATGACAGTATTCCTGTGTGCATAATATTGGCATGGAGATCTTGCTGCCTGATGGGAGCTGTGTGTGTGTGTGTTTGTGTGTGTATGTATCTGTGTGTATGTGTGTATGTATGTGTGTGTGTGTGTGTGTGTGTGTAGGTATGTGTGTGTGTGTGTGTATCCAAAAAACGATCTAGCCCAAAACTGCAAAAGGTTTGATTTAACAACTCCATTCTCCTTCTCTTCTTTTCACCTCAGATATGATCATTCAACACTACTGGGCAGTTTTCATGTATATTCTTAGCCAGAAAAGAATGGAGGAGAAAATTATCTTTTGTAAACAGTTACTTGCTGAAGAAGAGTAAATGCTGTGCAGCCTTCATTCCTCTCCCCAATTTCTAATCCCTGAATTTTTTCAAAGAAAGATAACCTCCTTGCAGCTGCCTTGCCCCTCGTGTGGAGCACCCCTCCCGGCTACTATGCCTACTTTCAGTCTCACCCCCCATACCCCCATACACACACACACACGCACACACACACACATATACACACACAACTCCCAAGGACATCTGCTCTCACTTGCCTGGTTTCCAAGGATAAGATGCTTCTTAGTAGCCTAGTCAGATATTGGCCTTGAAGAGTCTGTCTCAGAAATTTAGAGGTGATACATTTTACTCAAAAGTTAGGTGAAAACGTACACCAAGATCCTCAGAATTATAAGATTAGTTTTAGGTTTGAGAGGACCTAGGTCAAGGGCATAGAAAATAAACTTTTAGTCTTTCATGTTTCATTGGTAAGTCTCACTTGGTTAAGAATTGGTCCCCAATTCTTGTTTTTAGAAATCCTTACAAACCTGGACTCATTAACCACTTCTAAATATCAGCTAAGTTTTAAGGTGCCTTTATCACAAAGCTGATAGGTATACAGTAATCTAATTTGTTAGGTAAAAAATCAAAACATTATGCATAAAGATATGACACCAGAAGCAAGAAGTTAGGACATCATATGAGGTCGATTCTGGTAGCCATATCATATTCTGAGAGCAGAAATCATCAGGATATGGAAGTGAATCTTATTAGTATGCCCTCCACCACAAAAAAAGCCAATACTTGATGACTCAAATTGTGAGAGTAATGTCAAAATTCTTTTTTGTCATCAAGTCCTCTTCTTTTTTTAGTCAAGTATAGCTGTTTTTATTTGATAAAAAATTCTTAATATGTAAGAAAAGAGAAAACAGCTTTCTTTCAGACTTCCTTAAGTAAGTCTATTTTGCATTTTTGTTTTGGCTTGTTATCCTTGTTTGTTTGTTTGTTTGTTTTTTCAGTGAGGGGTGGTATACCAGCTTTCTGATTGAGAAGATTGAAGGGATATATTAAGTATAGTTTTGTTTTACAAAATAATCATTATTTTACATAAAGTGAGGTGTAGGAAAAAGGCACCTACATATTTGAAAATGGAGACTCTGTTCTTAGCACAATTACTGTCAGCCAGTCACTTATAGCATCTAATGACCTTGTGATATTCATTAGATTTATTATTTAATCATATGTGAGCGACAGTACAAAAAAAAATTTGTAAAATGACCGAAATCAGCACCTAATAGCCTATCTCTTCTTTCATTCTAATTTGTTCTTCTTAATAAGTTATTTTTGCTCTGGGGGAAAATGCTGAATAGTGATCAGATAAACGTACAACATACATACCATAGAATCTTGCAAACAGTCAATAACAATAACAAGATTAATGCTGGATTTGTATTATGTGTATTTCAGATGAGTCTTTTAAAATAGCCAATGCAATATTACTCCATTTTAATTGAAATTCTTAAATTTTTTTTGAAAAAAATAGAAATCCCAAGCAAAAAAAAAATTAGTTTTCATTCTTTTTATTATTTTCCTAGAATATTCATATACTTTCTAAAAAAATCTCTTACTCTATTTTACCTTTCATATAGGATGTTTTTACTGTGACACTAAATATTTCTAATGAGTCTTTTTGCATTTCTTTAAAGGTTTCCTTCAAACTACTGCTGATGAGTTTTGCTTTTACTATGCAAGAAAAGATGGTGGGTTGTGCTTTCCAGATTTTCCAAGAAAACAAATCAGAGGACCAGCATCTAACTACTTGGACCAGATGGAAGAATATGACAAAGTGGAAGAGATCAGCAGGTTCATAAAGATAAATGCTCTTTAATTTTAAAAAAACAAAAACAAAATACCAACTGACAAATCTTGCGGTTTTATTAGTGAATCAACTGTTTCTGTGCTTGATTCCAGCAGCTATATCCCCCAGATGCTTTTTTCTTTCTTTTGGATAGTTTGCTTCTCTAATATCATGTTCCCTTAAAAGCGTTTAATGCTTAGACTACTAATCTTTTATTATCATGAGTTTGGCTTCTCTATGATTCCTGTGAATTTCATGATTACAGTTTTAAACTTGAACTTTATGCTTATTGTTAGCTTATGGAAATATTCAGCACAATTATCATTAGCAAATCGGAGTTTTATAAATAGATCTTAAAACCTTCTCTCTGAGGGCCTTTCTATAAGGCTTAATTATTGTGAGTAAAGCTCATTTTAATTATAGTCACTCAAAGATAAGATAATGAGCTTCTGCAATTTTAAAAGATGTAGCATTTTTATGTTGATTCTCTCTTGGACTTTCTGGTAGAAGGCTGTTTTATGTGTTCCACTGAAAGCAATTTAAAAGAGTCCTGTTGTGACTTTTGGGGTTAACGGCACCTCCTGATTCTCAAAACCATTGATTCCTAGAGGAAGTACCTTTTGAAAAGGATGTTAAGTGCATCCTTTGCCTCCTTCACCTCAAGAAAAGCTTACTGGTTTTCTTTAACTTGTTTAGGAAGCACAAACACAACTGCTTCTGTATCCAGGAGGTGGTGAATGGGCTGCGCCAGCCTGTCGGTGCCCTGCACAGCGGGGACGGCTCGCACCGGCTCTTCATTCTGGAAAAAGAAGGTTATGTGAAGATACTTACCCCCGAAGGAGAAATTTTCAAGGAGCCTTATTTGGACATTCACAAACTTGTTCAAAGTGGAATAAAGGTTGGCTTTTTAAATTTTATTTATCTTTGCTCTGGCTATGTTAATTTTATTTTAGTGTTATCATTCTCACCGGAGGTATTTGTAATAAAAGAAAGAATATTTAAGGAGAAAATAAGGAGACAACATAAGGGAACAAGAATTATGGCAACTGAATTGGGACAGTGGCATTAAATGTCTAATGTTATTTGGTGACTATTAAGCAGTGCAATGAGATTGATATCTTGACATGCTTTCCCTATGTAATTTACACATTTAAACTAAGTCTTGGTTTTATATAGTATGTGTTTAAATGTTGTTTGACAGGCATAATGCGTAGAATTGTGTATCAGCATTTGCTAGTAGAAACAAAGAGGTCTTTTGGTTATTTGGGCAACAGCAAACCATTCTTTTCCCGCATCTGTTTGTGAGTCTGTGTCATAAAAAAATGCTACTTGTACTGTGCCTTCCTTGTACAATGTTTTTGCAGGTAAGTCAAATGTTTTAATCTATAATTAGCCGTCTTTATATTACATATGCACATATTGCCTTCTTTCTCACTTCTCCGATTGAATTCTCATGTTAAATAATCTAGCGGCATATAAATAAAATTATTGTCAAGTTTGTTTTACAAGAGTGTGACATGCTATAATATTGGCAGTATAAGCTGTAAAGCAAATTGTGGCATTTTAAAACTGAGGCACATTCAACAGCTCATGACTAAGTTAGGTTGAAACAAACTAACAGTATGATTTGGGAAGAACTGGTTATCTTTGTCATGTCTTACCTGGGGAAAGAAATCAAAGGAGGATTTATACTCTTCTACTCGTAGAGAAATAAACTCCTCCTTGCTTTGTTGAGCTCTATTCAAAGGTAAGAACATCAAAACCAGAAGAAACAGTCGGGGAAAAATATAGGTATATTTCTCACACCAATTCATTACCTACCATTTAAAATCATTAGAACGATTCCATTAGAATATAGGGATTGCCACATCATTGACACCACCCCGCTTCAAGAGTGTGTTGTCAGTGTCACTAAGACATCCTGCATACTAGAAGTACCTTATGGTACTTTTGGTCCTTTAAGGAAAAGTACTTCAGCACCAACACACAGATCATATGGAAAACCTGTTTAGCTCAGTAGTTTCAACTTTCTTCCAGTAAAAGTTTTCATTAGACTTCACAGCAGATCATCAAAAGTCTCTTAAAATGAAGCATTTGTGTTTTGCACATAAGACTTCAATAAATACTTTTTGGAATGTGTTCTGATAATTCACTGCCAGTGGTACCTAAAAGAACAAAGAATTAAGATACGGCAGCAAATACATTACTCACTAGCAGTGTATTTTTCTTACTGTGAAAGTTATACTCTCTATGAAAGAAAAAATTGGGACTGCATTTTAAAAATCATCACCTATCATCTCATCAGGTAAAGAATATCACTACTTACATTTTGATATACCTCCAACTTTTATATTAAAATTAGATGAACTTATCCTGACTACAAAGGTAACACAGGTCCATATTAATAAATGTGGAAACACACAAAAATATGTTTCCTTGCAGCTTTTTCCCTAAGCAGCTTTAAAATAAATTTGAAATCAAACCATATATACACCTTTTTAGCCTTCTTTTTTTGACATAACAATATGTCATGAGTATATTACCAAATTTGAAAACTTTTCTCAAAAACCTAGTTTTTATCTGCTCCGGGTATTCCATTTCCTAATTATGAAGTGTTTCCTTTTTATCATTGTAAATAATGTGCTTTATCATTCTTGTATGTATTATTTAACCTGCTCATGAATGACTTCCTTAACATCCATTCACAGAGCGTTACTGAGATGGGGACATAGATCATTACACATCTTGCCAATGGCTGTAGGATATGTTTTCAAGTATTTGAACGAATAACATATAGGGGCACCTGTCGGTTAAGTGTCCAACTTTGGCTCAGATCATGATCTCAGCTCAAGCCCCATATTGGCTCTGAGCTACCAGTGCAGAGCCCACTTCAGATCCTCTGTCTCCCTCTCTCTCTCAAAAATAAATAAACATTTTTTTAAAAGAATAACATACAGCTTTTATGTATTATTTGAATAACAATGTTGGTATTAAAAAGATAATGAATGGTAAAATGTAGGTGTTAGAAATAAGCTCAATTTTGTTGTAAGAAGTAAAGAACTGATATTCTTGTTTCTACTTTAACTACCTAAAGAATGACTGCCTCTTAATTAGGGTTCCTTCGGAATGCCTCCGTTTCAGTTTGTGCCCATTCGTTGGTGTAATGAATGAAAGTTTATCTTCTCTGACTTTGAGACATTTTATCATGCAATAAAATTGTATAAGCCAGGTTATGACAGTGCTATGGTTCTGTGCTATCTATGTTCTGCAGGCCTCTGGAAATTCTGCAGAAGCCCTTGTGTCTTCTTTCTTATGATAGTTCCAGGGCTTTTAGGGCTTAAATATAAACTTCAAAATCCATTATTCTGCATTTGTAGAATATATGACATGACATGTTTTAAAGTGCAATATTTGAATTCCCTTGAAGTTTGGCACTAGTGATGTCAGTAAGATAGGAATCTATCACATGGATTTTTGAGTGTGTACTGGGTAGTGAGTAATGATACCACAGCCTTGTTCCCTCAGGTAGGTGATCTGTCCTTTATCTTAGGCTCCATGAAACTTCCATCTCGAGTCATGAGTTGGAAGTATTAGGAGAGGCTGTCGTTGGTATGATGGGGCAGATGCCAACACATTCATGAATTGGTCACACCACTGATTTTTGTGATATGCCCTCAGAGACTTCTGGAGTAAAAACATTTTCAAACTATTTCACAGTAGTTTTTTTAGGCTTCTTGATGTATGAATAGTTAGTGTGTTCATGACAGTATTCTGTGTCAACAATCATTTTGTATAGATGACACAAATAGAAGTCTCAAAAATTATTATGTATATCACTTCTCTGTTCTTTCCGTTTTAAAATTCTAAGAGAGGACATAAAGCTGTTTTAACTAAGGTATTGATTGCAATACTCCGTTCACAGAAATTAGTAATGTATACTAACCCCAACCTTCGTATGTTTGAAATGAAAACAAGACAAACCACAATGAAGATCCCTCCATGACAGTTATTGATGACCAGTCTGAGTATATTAAATCAAACATAAAGAGGAATTCCTGATTATAAGAGTTTCTAAAAGCTAGGACTTGCTAGAGGGGAATCTGGAATTCCTTTTCTGTTAATGGTCAAGTAAAAATCGACAGGGGTTTCTATCACCTGGTAATGGACTGACCTTTTTGTGGCAAGGAGTTGGACTTGGTTGATATCCTCAAACCTTTACCAGCTCTGATTCTTAAAACTACTTCACAGAAGTGCCATCCACATAGCCAACCATCTAGGGAACTTAGTCAACTCTTCCCTAAACGGTCCTGTCTGAAGCTAAAAATATGTTGTCTTATTTTTAAAAACCCAAATTGTGCTGCCTATATTGCAGGAGATTTCAGTACACACAATTGTCTGTCTCACCAAAGTTAGATGCAAAACTGCAAAACACAAGCTAAAGACTTCTTTTTGCTATAGGAAATAAATTGTGGAGTTGGATTAATGGAATAAATTCTATGCCGTATGAATTTAAACTATCATTTTATTTGAGAAAAGACAATTCTATTCACAACTCAAATCCTAGAAGACTGGGGTTTGTGACGTTGCCAAATAAAGAGTGAGTCAGAAAAATGTTTTAATTTTTTTTTAACGTTTATTTATTTTTGAGAGAGAGAGAGAGAGAGAGAGAGAGAGACAGAGCACAAGTGGGGGAGGGGCAGAGAGAGAGGGAGACACAGAACCCGAAGCAGGTTCCAGGTTTTGAGCTGTCAGTACAGAGCTCGACCCGGGGCTTGAACTCACAGACCACAAGATCATGACCTGAGCTGAAGACAGACACTTAACCAACTAAACCACCCAGGTGCCCCAGAAAAATGTTTTAAAAGTATGTAGTGATTTGATCGAGTTTTGATTATAGTGCACTGTAGAAGCTAACTACTAATACTGACACTGAAGAATGACCCAAGTGTTCAGCTGGTGAGCAGTCTTTAAAATCATCATTTGTGGATGTATATATGTATGCACATGCATTGTTTGTTGTTGTTTTATCCCAAAGGGAGAAATTTAAAAAATTATACTCTCTATCTCCCCAGGTAAAAATTTCTTTAAGATACTGGTAGTGTGAGGGGCACCTGGGTGGCTCAATGGGTTAAACATCTGACTTCGGCTCAGGTCATGATCACCTGGTTCGTGGGTTCCAGCCCCACATTGGGCTCTGTGCTGACAGCTCAGAGTCTGGAGCCTGCTTCAGATTCTGTGCGTCCCTCTCTCTCTGCCCTCCCTTGCTTATGCTCAGTCTCTGTCTCAGTCTCTCTCTCTCTCTCTCTCTCTTAAAAATAAACATTTAAAAGTAAGAGATTCTGGTACTGTGAAATCTTTAAATTGAGCTTCTGTCTGAATTCTGAATCAGATCTTCTGGCAAGTGCCAGAACCAACTTCATCTATCTGAAGTCTTTGGAAATGACAAACCTCTGCTTCTCAAGAATGGATGCACAGTAGGGGCGCCTGGGTGGCTCAGTTGGTTAAGCCTCTGACTTTAGCTCAGGTCATGATGTCACGGTTTGTGAGTTCGAGCCCCATGTTGGGCTCTGTGCTGACAGCTCCGAGCCTGGAGCCTGCTTCAGATTCTGTGTCTCCTTCTCTCTCTGCCCCTCCCCCACTTGTACTCTGTCTCTGTGTCTCTCTGTCTCTCAAAAATACATAAATGTAAAAAAAAAAAATTAAAAAATAAAAGAATGGATGCACAGTATAATTGCCTGAGAGAGCTTTCAAAATTGCTGCTGCCCAAATTAAATCCACCACTGTCTGGGATTGGGACTGAGGCATGGGTATGTTTTTAAAGCTTTCCCAAGTGATTTCAATGTGTAGCCAATTTGAGAGCCACTGATCTAGACTGAACCAAACCCCTGGGTCAGTTAC